GCTCATCAAGCTATGGTAACCCACGAGTCAAAGTTGCCTAACGCAACCTGTACGACTCATAAATCAATCCATGACAACATCTGAGTCGGAGTTGCCTAATGCAACCTGTACGACTTATAGGCAACCTGAACGACAGTGTTGGAGTTGCCTATCATTGCAACCTATACGACAATGTCAGAGTTGCCTATCATTGCAACCTGTACGACAGTGTCCGAGTTACCTATCATTGCAACTTGTACAACAATGTCGGAGTTGCACAAACACTAATATAGTCATGCCCTAACTCAATCATTTCAAATAATACTATAAACTCACCTGAACTTACCTGTACGTTCCACGTTCACTTTAGCACTTCAAGGCATTCACAACAATTATATGTAGGTAATATGCATATGGTTATACCATAATGGAATCTAAAACTCAACCATATCATAGTATTTTAGAATATAAAAATATATATATGACATGGCATAAAATGCATATATCAATTTAAAAGTGTTTTGTGGAACTATCAATGATATACATACGATAAAAGGAAATGACCCATTCACCTGAGATCCGCGCTATGACTCCCTAGCACGAATATCGAAACGCCACGAACGATCCTCACCTAGAACAATTATTCAATTACATCTCTGAACTCTTATCAATAGAACACATAACTTACATAAAACACATCACAATGACGTTCTAGAATGATTTGAGACTCATGGACCAAAAGTCAACCATCAGTCAAAGATCAACGTAGGGTCCACAAGCCTACGTAACTCAATCCGAAAGATCCGTATCTCGGATTTCTGATCCGTAACTGCCAAAGATCCACATTTTGCTTCTAAAACATCATACTAAAGTTTCATTACGTTCCAACAATTGGATCTCCGCCAATTACCAATTCAAGTGGCAATCAATGTTTTATTGTGCTCACTTACAAATCCAATTCAGGAAGATCCGTACGTCAGATTCCCAATCTGTAAGTTTCTAATATCCTCAAATATTACATATTATAACGTATTAAAGTTTGGTGACTTTCCAAAAGTCGGATCGTCAATTTACATAATGTTCAAGTAGCGATCTTTATCAAAACTATGCCTAAATGATGAGATTTCATCAATCGGACTTCACCTATGGAATTGGGGTGTCAAACTTAGCTTAGAAAGGTTAGGGGGTGACTCGGCTCACATGCTGCCGCACACGGTGATCAGCCACCCCGATTCGCCGGAAAATTCAACTATCTTTAAAAATTCTCAAAATTTACAGAAATGAAGATCTCAAAGAGTAGAGAAAACTTTATACTTGTGGTTAAGTCAATTTGGCCGGGAAAGGCTCTAAATTGATTTGAACCCACAGGAAACCCTAAGGTAGGTGCTCTTCGATTCGACTTCCTCGGTGCTCCAACGCCCCTATAACCAGTTGGGTCTTATTCCTGGGTCCAAGGGGAGTTTATTAAGGGTGTTGGTGGTGGTGAAGCTCACCGGATCAAAGGAATCACCGTCGAGCACCTCCGGTGCATCGGTGGGGTTCTACACGAATTGGACCTTAAAAATCCTCAAAATTTGGGTGGAGATAGAAGAGGGAAGGTTGAGGAAGAGGTTGTAGGAGTTGAATGGTGATGAATAGATGGAAGGAAACCACCGGAAATGGAATTGAGCTGGTGCACGGGAAGCTGGGCTTTTTTCCAATTTTTTTTTCCCTTTCCTTCCCCCCTCCTCCTTTTCTGATTGGTTGCTCCTTCCTTTCATGTTTCTCTAATTGGTTACAATTCCCACATGGTGAGAGTTTATTGTCCTTTAAATCTATAATTTAGTGAAACAACTTCAAATGTCCGTAACTATACCGTTATAATTCGGACTCGCAAACAGCTTTCGCCTATGCGTTGGTACCAACGAGTATTACACAAATACGCCAAAAGAATAAGTCATACATTCCTCTAGACGATGTCAACAGAAGTCAAAATCCTTGCCTCTAGGGCATTTTCGTCAATTCCCTCGATTAAAATAAATAAAAACAAATTTTAAGGATAGGCTGGCATAATAGAAACAAATCTCAAAATTTAAATTTATCCAATAGTACTAAGTAAGGCAGTGAGCACTGCCACCACTTGATGAGGGTGGTGAGCAAATGCACTCAAAAGCACTGCATGTTTTGCCACTTAGTACTACGGTATAGTGATATTCTTCTTCACTTGTAAGTGAGAGGTCTCAGGTTTGATTCTCTCTAAAAGTGAATTTGAATTACATTATTGCTAGCCTATTGTGAGGCTTAAGTTTATCCTCTTCCTTTAGTGTTGATAATATCGTTTGTTAAAAAAAAAAAAAAAAAAAACATGGCCTTTTTAGTTTTGATTTTTTGTACAGGGCAACAAAGGTAAAATGTGTGCTCCTATATAAAAAAGGGAGGTTTAATAAAACACTCTCATTACTATTCATTTTTAACGAAAAATCACATTTATACATTTCTTTAATACTATTCACTATACCTTTAAAAATGATTTTTCATTAAAAGGAAATGCTTTGTTTTTACTTTTCACTAATTTTTCTTATACAAAATGATGTTGGGAATTGTTAGGTGGCAAAAGTTGTACGTAGCTCTTGGGGTACAGCCTACAGGGGTTAGTGGGGGCGGTGGAGTTGCCTTCTTGAAAGGTGAAGCCCAAGATCCGATTAGTAATGGCAGCCTCCACTGTCCTATTCACAATTATTCTGCTCTTCCTCGCTCTTTCAGGTTCCTCCTCTTTGCCAATTAACCTACTTTCTTCCACCTTCATGTGTTGGGTTTCCGAGAAAGTGCAGGAAAATAAAGAAAACACAGAAAACAAGATGGAAACTTTGAGCTAAAAGTCTCAGATTTTCTTTCTGGGTCCTCTTAAAAGAAATTTTCTCAACTGGGTCTTATATATCTCGTTTTTGGATTTCTTGAAAGAAAAAAGTAACTTCAAATTTGAAAATTTTCTTTTTCTCCCATCTAGTTTGCTTTGTTTTCTCACCAACCAAACATAATCCAATCTTCTGTTATGTGATCAATTTAGATTCACCACTCACTAATCTCCGATGGGATTTTCTTAAATTCAAGTAAACATTTGACGTTAATTTCATCAAATTTGGGATCTAAATTTAATATCTGTTTTCACTTTTCAGATTCAAGTCTCCAAGTCCAGAGCCTGAGCTTCGGAATCAACTATGGATAAATAGCCAACCACCTCCCATCTCCATCGCGAGTGGCTGTCCTCCTCCAGTCCCTCAACGTCAGCCGCAACAAACTTTACGACGCGGATCTGAACGTCCTCCAAGCCTTCGCGAACTCCGAGGTTGATTTCATCATCGGCCTCGGCAACGAGTACCTGCAGAGCATGTCCACCGACCCTTTCAAAGCCCAATCCTGGATTCAACAGCACGTACAGTCCCATCTCCCCCAGACCAAAATCACGTGCATCAACATCATGAATGGTATCAGATTACATCAACATAGTAATTAGTCAGATTAAATAATTCGAAATCAGGGGGAGATACTAATTAAGGGGAGTATCTAAAACATATTAAGGTTTTAACGAGGTAACCGAAATTGACGTATAGCCATCCAAGGGAGAGTGTTGTAATATAACATGTGGATGGCCCACATGAATAGTTTGTTACTATTCATCCAAAGAAAAATAAGATGGATTATTTTTCATATGAAGAAAAACGGATGGGTTACTATTTATGCACAGTATTTCACTATTCATTTGAGGAAAGCTTGTAAAGTGAATAGGTTGCTAAAGTAATCTTTTGCCTATAAGATGAGAGCATATAGAGGAAGGAAGAAGTGAGAAGAAGAAGAAGAGATGAGAAAAAAACATACAGAGGAAAGAAAGAGGGAGTTATGAAGGAAAAGGAAGAGAAGAGGAAAGAAGAGAGATGCGAAAGAAATTACTAGTGAACCAGGCTAAAGAGAAAAGAGAAAATAGTGAGAGTTATTTTGTACTCTTATTATTTCATATAATATAAGAAAGTACTACTGCTGCCCTGAGGACGTAAGCACATTTGGTGAACCTCGTAAATATTATGTTTTATTTACTTTATTCCATTGCACACTTATCATCAACTTTACAACAACATTTGTTTTCTGATCTCTGTCAATTTTACAACCACCATTGTTCCCATATCGATTTGCCTCTGCTTATGAGTTATAAGCCGAAGGTCTAAAATTTTGTTCACATGAATAAAGAGTTCAATATTTAATTACTATAATTTTGCATACTGTATGACTTTGGCTAATTTTTTGTAAATTTTGTATCAAAACAGAAGCCTTTTCTTCTTTGAACAAAAACAATGGGAATGGTTTTGTTCACCACCTTTAAGTGATGGTAATGTTCATCGTCCTATTTATAACTATTAGATGCGTTTGAATTTCGAGATTTGTATAATGAATAGAAACAAATCTCAAAATTTAAATTTATCCAATAGTACTAAGTAAGGTGGTGAGCACTGACAGCACTTGATGAGGGTGGTGGGCAAATGCACTCAAAAGCATGACATGTTTTGCCACTTAATACTACGATATAGTGATATTCTTTTTCAGTTGTAAGTGAGAGGTCTCAGGTTTGATTCTCTCTAAAAGTGAATTTGAATTACATTATTGCTAGCCTATTGTGGGGCTTAAGTATATTCTTTCCCTTTAGTGTTGATAATATCGTTTATTAAAATAAAAAAATATAAAAATAAAATAAAGAAAATTAAATTAAAAATTGAAAAATTAAAAAATTAAAAAAATAAAAAAATAAAAAAACATGGCCGTTTTAGTTTTAATCTTCTGTACATGGCAACAAAGGTAAAATGCGCGCTCCAATATAAAAAAGGAGATTTAACAAAACACTCATGTTACTGTTCACTTTTATCGAAAAATCATATTTATACATTTCCTTGATACTATTTACTATATCTTTAAAAATGACTTTTCATTAAAATGAAATTTTTTTTTAACTATTTGTTAGTTTTTCTTATAAAAAAAGATGTTGGGAATTGTTAGGTGGCAAAAGTTGTACATAGCTCTTGGGGTACAGCCTACAGGGGTTAGTTGGGGCGGTGGAGTTGCATTCTTGAAAGGTGAAGCCCAAGATCCGATCAGTAATGGCAGCTTCCACTGTCCTATTCACAACTATTCTGCTCTTCCTCGCTCTTTCAGGTTCCTCCTCTTTTCCAATTAACCTACTTTCTTCCACCTTCATGTGTTGGGTTTCCCAGAAAGTGCAGGAAAATAAAGAAAACACAGAAAACAAGATGGAAACTTTGAGCTAAAAGTCTCAGATTTTCTTTCTGGGTCCTCTTAAAAGAAAATTTTCTCAACTGGGTCTTATATATCTCCTTTTTGGCTTTCTTGAAAGAAAAAAGTAACTTCAAATTTGAACTTTTTCTTTTTCTCCCATCTAGTGTGCTCTGTTTTCTCACCAATCAAACATAATCCAATCTTCTGTTATGTGATCAATTTAGATTCACCACTCACTAATCTGCAGTGGGATTTTCTTAAATTCAAGCAAATATTTGACGTTAATTTCATCGAATTTGGGATCTGAATTTAATATCTGTTTTCACTTTTCAGATTCAAGTCTCCAAGTCCAGAGCCTGAGCTTCGGAATCAACTATGGACAAATAGCCAACAACCTCCCATCTCCGTCGCGAGTGGCCGTACTCCTCCAGTCCCTCAACGTCAGCCGCATCAAACTTTACGACGCGGATCCGAACGTCCTCCAAGCCTTCGCGAACTCCAAGGTTGATTTCATCATCGGCCTCGGCAACGAGTACTTGCAGAGCATGTCCACCGACCCTCTCAAAGCCCAAACCTGGATTCAGCAGCACGTGCAGCCCCATCTCCCCCAGACCAAAATCACGTGCATCAACGTCGGGAACGAAGTCCTCGGCGGCACCAACACCCAGCTGTGGTCGTACCTCCTCCCGGCAATGCAATCAGTCTACCGCGCCCTCGTCAACCTCGGCCTCTCCAAACAAGTAGCTGTCACGACCGCGCACTCGCTTACTATTTTAGGAAACTCCTACCCGCCGTCCTCGGGGAGTTTCCGACAAGACCTCGCTCAATATATCCAGCCGATCCTCAGCTTCCACTCGCAAGTTAATTCGCCTTTTTTGATAAATGCTTATCCGTACTTTGCTTACAAGGACAATCCAGGTGAAGTTTCGATAGAGTACGTGCTGTTCCAGCCTAATTCTGGTATGGTCGATTCAGTCACGAATCTCCACTACGACAACATGCTGGATGCCCAGATTGATGCCGTTTATTCCGCCATCAAGGCGATGGGCCATTCGGACATCGAGGTCCGAATATCCGAGACCGGCTGGCCTTCCAAGGGGGATGCCAACGAGGCCGGCGCCACGCCGGAGAATGCTGGTATTTACAATGGGAATCTGATGAGGAAAATTGAAGAGAAGAAAGGGACGCCGGCGAAGCCTCAAGTTCCGATTGACATTTACGTTTTTGCACTGTTTAATGAGGATTTGAAGCCTGGTCCGGCATCGGAGAGGAACTATGGACTATATTATCCGAATGGTACTCAGGTCTATGATATTGGATCCCAGGGTTATCTTCCTCAGCTAACTTTTTCTGCAGACTCTAATATAAATGCAAGTAAATTTACCCTTTTGTTAATACCTCTTTTTATGATTTTGAGATGAGTTAATTTTCTTCATTTTTTAATATAACAATATGTCTACTTTAATTTAGTACCGAAATGTCATTTGCTAGAGTCAGAAGTCCAGAAAGAAGTGAAGAGAAATACTGCTAAGCATTTGAAGTTAATTTTCTTATTAATGGCATCTAATGCTATATTTTCCTTTGTTTTTGCAGGTCATATCCATCTTCAATTTTCTGAGCCTTCTCATTGTGTACATATTATTATGTGTTTATTAGAGCTCATATATTCGGTGAACTTTTTAGGGGGAGGAAGACGTGCAGACAGGAGCAACATCAAGAATTCCTGAAGATTTTTAAGAAGCAAAAGGAATTCTAATAGGTTATATTAAGAGAATGAGATCCGTATATTAATAGCTTTAGTTTTTCTTATACTGTATATGGACGATCACATTTATTTTCATTGATTTTCTACGCTGGTGAACTAGCAAATAATCTACCATAGCATTTCAATTTTACACAATATTGCTGAATAATGGAATAAAAAGGATACATTATTGTCGCTGTATTTTTCCTTGAGATTCTGCGCCCAACCTCTCGAGTTTGATTTGATTTTCTTTCTCCGCTATCGCTTGTTTGAAAGTAAAAGAATTGAGAATGATCTATCTGTAAATCGCTCTAGATATGCATGGTGGGAAATCAAATGGCATCTGTGACGCTGAGGCTGTCAAGTTCAGTCTACTTCACATATGTGCACCAAGTGGACTTTTGACGCATAAAAATAGTTTATGAAAAAAAATATCCAACTTTATGAATACAATGTCACCACATGGATAGTTTGTTTTTACTAGCAAGAGCGAATGGTAACGCGTCCCTTTCCTTCCTTATCATAATACTTGTAATTATGCATGTGAATCTTTCTGTATATAAAATTATGTGTGGTATTAGCAAAAGTCCAATTTGGCTTCCATCAACCTTTTTTTGACTCTTCCTTTTGGGTTGCCTTATCTATTTTATTTTTAAAATTTTAGTTTGGAGTGTATCGTTATTAAAAATGTGTTTTTACATCGAAGATATAATTAAATAATATAATTTTTTATTATTTACATATAGACTACTTACTTTTAATATTGTCAAAGTATTGTAATAAAGTAAAACTCAACAGTTAATAATAGATGAATCGCACGATGATGGTGATAAAATGTTGAAATGCCTCACCTCCCTTCTGTGAGTCTTCTCAACTTCTGGAACGATGAATGTTCATGGTAAAAACATCAGCTGGTCCTCTATTTTTAGAATACAAAAAAAAAAAGAAAAAACAAAAACATAGCTAGTAATAAGTGTTTAAGTTGATAATATTAGTACTAAACCATGATGCGGCTTAGAGTTCGTCAATCCTTTCTAAACCTTATCAACTTTGCCTTTTGGTGTGAACTGTTATCTGAAAAATGGCAATAGCTCTTTGTCTTCAACACGGCTGTGTATTTGTCTTCTCTTTTTGCGGCCTTTCAAGTTAGCGACTTTGGAGTTTTGAGTTTACATGCATCAGGATGACGAAGCTTTTACTTCACACACATTATTCTGTCAAACTTTAACCAAATATTTTTTGGGCTTTGGTTTTGGATATTTCATATTATCGAGTTTCAAACTTCAATCCAACTTCGGATCGACCTGCCAATGTTATTCACGTCTAATGGATTTCATTTTATTTATAAGTAATAAGCTTTCTGATTTGACTTCTATAAGTGACAAATATTTTAACACAGAAAAACTTATAGTGCGAGTTAGCCTAAATTCTCACACTCCAATAGAATCGTATCAAAAACCTTGGATTGACTTGATTATAAATGGTCTGAGTATATTTGGGGCTTCAAGTGATTTGCACGTGTCTACGAAAGAATAAAGAACAATTAAGGCGATTTACAATTTGAGATGAGGAGTGCTAATTTTATGGAGAAAAACTCTTTTGCAACTAATACATTGTGTCAACTGTCTCATTGGTGCAATGGATGATTATCACGTGTTTACACAGTGCACAACTCGCTCAATAAATACTTACCACATGATGTTATAGATTACAAGATATTTTTCTCCGTTCAATTACCCCGCTAATTTCTCCATACCTGACATTTCTTATTATTTTTAATCAAGTGATAACGATGTTCAAACAAATGTATTTATAACAAAATAGAAGCACTTTCTGTACTACTTTGTGTTCAAAGGTTCGTCAAGAAGAGCAGGCGCAGTGAATAATCTTCTAGACGAATTCAACTTAGGAATCATGCTTTATTGCTTACTTGGCGGGTTAAAATAATTAGTATTTAGAATTTTGTTATAAGAAAAGGGAAACGACATCAAGTAAAGCAATACAAAGTGGGGGTCGTTTTCAACTTGAATTAGGACCAATATTTTGCCTTCTAGGATTCTCATCAGCATGGCCCCCCCAGCCCAAGTAGGATAAGCTTTTGGCAGATATAACCCATATAGAGGAACCCACTTGAATATATTATTAATTAGTATTCAGCGGATATTACTCTTATGTGTCAATTGTGACTAGTTAATTAGACACTTTTGATAGACAAGTGTATTTAACCACCACAGATTTGATGAAGTGTGGATCAATATATTATTGTAGGTCATGTTGGGTTGCCAGTTGACAACCAAACTCGGTTTCAAGACAACTTGATCCAACCATGTCCGTATATTAATGATGTAAATAAGAGGGTTTCATGTCATTGCTGTTAAGGAAACAGGAAACCAAATTTAGTAGAATTCTTCTAAGGTGTTCCACAGTGGATCGGAAAATTGAGTATGACACACTAATAATATAGTAATTAACCATCGTGTTTGAAAAAATGTGAATAATTTCTATTTGTAAGTTCGATAGTTTGAGTGCAATGAGAGTGATTCTTATTTGTGTGTGATACCTATACATTAGATAACAAGAGAGAGAAAAGATGTGACGAAACAAAGAGGTTTTCCAAGGAAGTAGGATTCCAAATTCCCCTCCCCTCCTCTCCATTCTATTTGAACAGTCGCAATTAAGTCACGTCAACATTTTGTGTTGACTTATTTATATAAAGAGAAAGACAAATATGAAAGTGAAAGTGAAAGTGGAGGGGAGGGGAGGGGTGGGGATTTAGAGAGGAGAGAATTCTACTCCTTTTTTGAATACCGGGTATTCAAGTGGTACTCCACATGTCATTAATACAAGTGGAGGAAATGATATATTTTTCTATGTCCCTCCACTTATTTAAGGCACGTGGAGTACCCGCTTAAATATTGAGCATTTTGAAAAATTTCTTAATCAGTCCTAAAATAGAGAAAAAAAAGTTGACCAGTACCACATTTAATATATAAAACTCACCCATATCAAGTTCAACACTGCTGTGACTAGGGGTGGGTTTGTTTCAGTTCGGTTAAATTTTTTGCCAAAATCAAACCAAAATTACTATTTGGTTCGGTTTCAATTCGGTTCTTTTTTTTTTTTAATTATTATAAATAAACATTTCAAATTTCAATGTTAACAATTCCAACACATTCATAATAAAATAAACATTCCAACTAGAATCGAAGACACTAAAAATAACCATTCGTGTTCAAGTCTTCCAAAGGCTAAACTTCAAAGAATTATTCCACTTAAAATAAACATTCAAACTATAATCATAATTTCAAATAAACATTCAAAGTTCCATGTTTTGCACACTCTTCTTCAAGTCCTGAAGCTCAGTATCTAACTCTTTCAAGTTTGAATGAGAGGTTGTTTGCTAACACTTAGGCTGCCTAGTAGCACTTTTTCTTGAATTTCCACTTGCCATTTCTACATACAAATAAAATAAAATAAAATAAAGGAATAACATCTAATCAAAATATTGTTTTAAAATAATCTAACAAAAATGACAATAAATAAGATACATTTCTCAACTTCTTCATAAAACTCAATCTCCTTAATGGTTGGCTCATGATGTAATGCAATATGGATAGATCTAAGCCAATTTTGGGTACATATCAAATCCTCTACCATTTTTTTACTCAAAGAACTACGATATGAATCAATTATCCATCCACTTGTGCTAAAGGAGGATTATGAAGCAATGGTTGACACAAGAATAGCTAAAATCTCTCTTGAAAAATGTGCCAAAATATAATATTTAGGTACTCCATTCACTCTTCACGAATTCAATATATCAACTTTGCCTCTTCTTCTCCTTCATTAGAATCGGAAAGATACATATCCACATCATTATGTACAGCCCAGGCTCTTTTTGTTTTCATCATTTTGCTTTTTTCTTTCAACTTTATTTCGGTTTTGGTCATGCTTGATGAAGAACTCCACTTGTCATTGCAGTTTAAGAAATACCACCACTAGTTATACTTTGTTGTGTAACGAAAGACATATCTTCATAATCTTGTAAAGATCAATCAACAAATCTTTCACAGTATTTGGGACAATTTCAACTTTTTGATCATCCTCACCAAATTGTATCTCAAAATAATCAACAACCTTATCCAATTTATGGTGAGGAACAAGCACAAGTGCAACAAAAACATATTGATTCATATCCACAATTGAACCCAAATAATTGTTATATTTTTCTTGCATCAACATGGAAATCACTACAAGAAAACATGGATTATGTGACGAATGGGTTTTGTTACATATACACTAAAATTCGTCACATATAACTAACTATATGTGATGAATTTCCAGCGTCACAAGATGCGTCACCTATAGTTTATGTGACGAATTTTTGGTCGTCACCTACTAGCTCTATATGTGATCCTATTTTCCTCAAACATTCCTAGCTCAAATTCCGTACTTGAAACAATATGTGACGCTTTGAGCGTCACTTATTCTTGAAATGCGTGATGACATGCTTTCTTCACATCCTGTATTGCTTTTTCTCATTTAATTATTTTCATAATTTTTCTTGAAAATGAATCTATAATTTAAACTTTAATTTTAGTGAACCAAGCTAATGAATAATATGAACTACATCATAATGGCAATTTATATGTCAATAGAAGTAATTTTTACATTAGTAACATGTTTAATAAACTAAACATGCACAAAGGGAACAAATATCGTTTCGAAATAATAAACTATGAAGAAAACAAAATACCCTAAAAAATGTAAACCTGGCTAGACCACGAAGACTCTTGTGCTTTTGCTACTGGTTGTTGGAGCCTGCAAGTCACATAGCCGACACAAATTTCTCATAAACCTGCGGAGATACAAGAGAAAAAAATTGAGTATTATCACACATCCAACAAATAGCAAAGAAAGATATGTCAAAATTTAATTAAAAACTGAACTCGAACAAACTATTCCTAAAACAATAAGACCAATCCTCAATTTTCAAATAATGAATAGGTAATAAAGCAAAGCAACCAAACTCATCAAGAAACTCAAAGACTAATTTCAACTAAAACTGAAACCAAGAATCCATTAAAACGAACAGCATGCATCATCTAACTAATTCTTCATAGGAGCAAATATTAGAGAGAGAAGTTAGCCAACTAACCATCGACCAATCACTGAAAATTACTACCAAAAAAAAAAAAATGAAAAAATTCATTCAAGCTCACTGTAACTTTGGCAACACAAGTTCCTCACTAGCTTGCATACAAAAGAAAAAGAAATATCAAATATCAAACCACCAGTGAAAAATAGCATAAAAGCTACATTCCTTTTTATGAACCTCGGTTTAATTATATGATTAGATTGCATAATTCTAGTCCATTAGAGCATATCAATTTCGTGCCACGTAAAGTAAGGTAAATAACATACAAGCATACCTTCCCTTGTGCGCAACGTAGAAGCTTTTAGAACTAAACCCAAAGGATCCTTATAACACTCCTAAAAAACAATGAGACCTAAGTTTTCAATTCCCAAATGATGACTAGGTAATATAACAAAGCAACCAAACTAAAAAACAAACTCAAATGATGACTAGGTAATATAGCAAAGCAACCAAACTCAGAAACAAACTCAAATGATAACTAGGTAACAGAAAGAAACTAAAACGATGACTAGGTAATACTAATCAGAAAAGTGATAACCAACCAAATATCAACCAGTAACTGAAAACTAATACCAAATATGGATCAATCAAGCATCCAAAATGCCCCAAATGCAGAAGCCCCAGAAACAGAACAACTACAGTCGTTCTGTAATTGCAACAAGTTAAATGACCATAATGAAATCCAAATTTTAAACTTAAATAAAATGATAGCTTAAGCAGTGTATAAGTTAAATCTCACAAGGCAAAATAATGTAGCAAGAAAATAGAAGAAATTCTTGCTAAAGTTATTGATTAATGTTCCTTACTTCAGTTTTTAATTTTGTTTGTAAATTTGTGAATGTAAACCTGCAAGTTCCAAAAACAAATAGAAAAAGCCAGGGATATACACACACACACACACACACACACACATATATATATATATATTATTTATATATAAATCTAAAAATTAAAAACCAAAATTTACCCAACTAGAGTCCTTGAAAGATGGATGAAGAGGTCGAGGGCTGCTGGCGTGCTCAATTTGGAGGCAATTACCTGCAAATCCAAAACCCTAAGTTAAAAAGAATGATAAAAATTGAATTCATTAACCATTTGGCCACATAGTAGTCTCGTAGGCGTGAAACTGGAAGAAGGTTGATTTATGTAGTTGGTGGAAAGGGTTTCTAGGGTTCTTGGGTTTTCGGTGGTGGAGCAAGAAACTGGAAGAAGGTTGAGATGCGGGAGGGTGTGGATTTAGCTTGTTGGTTGAATTGGTCTCTAGGGTTTTTGGCTGTGGAGTGTGATAGACAGCGAATAGATGAGAGAGGGTTTGTGCGTTTGGCTTAGAAGATCCCAGTAATGTTGTGGTAGAGAGAGAAGAAGATTAAGAGATGCGTCAGTGGCTTGGGTCATGTTGATGAGAGATGGAAGAAGTCTGAGAGACAGAAAAAGGGAAAGTGAATGATAATAGTTTAGAATTTAGATGGGCCTTCACAAATTTGTTTAATACACTATGTTTCTTTTTATTTTTTCTTTTTTATTTACTGTTGGAAGAGTGATGAATCACTATCATCACCAAGAATACACATATGTGTCCATTTTGAAATTCCTCACATATCATACTTCGTTAGAGCGCCATTGTTCTCTGCCGCAGATTTTAGTAAGGACTTCAAAAAATTTGTGTCACCACTTTTTCATCTTAGAAGATATAAAATAGTTTTAAGTGACGCTTATGATTTTTATCACTCCATTCTAGAATATGTGACGTATTTATCGTCACCTAAGTGTTCTCAAATTTCATACCTAAGAAACTAGTCATGCGTGATGTTTTGAAAAATGCGTCACATACAGAAAAAATATGTGACGAATTTTTGGGCGCCACATAAAATTTGGTCACCTATTCCATATTTTCTTGTAGTGAATCATAAACAAAAATTCATTATCTTTGTTTTCATGCAAGAAACTTTTGATCTTAAACAAATCACCAAAACTAGCATGAACTGTTAGAGCATTGGAACAACATACTTTTAAAGTGACTTCATGAAAAAATCTAAAAGAAGTTGCAAATATCCTTGCCTCACTCCAATCACTAGTCAAAGGTGGCCCCTCCCTTATATTACCATGATTGTTTTTAATAAAGCAAGGAAGGTAATGACCATCGTCTACTTTCAATCTATTAAAAACCATCTTAAACTTTAAAGTCAATTCCAACATTAAAAATGTGGAATTTCACCTAGTGGGGGCATCCAAAATCCCAAGCTTTGTTATCTATTCTCACTTTCTCAACACACCTTTTCACACTCTCCAACCTTTGAGGGGAAGATCTTACATACGTAACCACATTATGAACGCTTTGTATCCATATTCAACAATTTTTTATCGCATCATTCACAACTAAATTGAGGATATGAGCAACACTTCATATGAAAATATCTTCCATCATGCAAAAGTACATTAAGAAGTGCGGTGAGAACCATGTAATTTGTTTGTTGAATAGAAGTCTATGTATCCATTGTTAGACACACCTTGAATGTCTTCAATTTCTCTTTTTTAGAATAACACAAGCCAAGTACATCATTGGCAATTGTCTTATGACTAGGCACTCTATACATAAGACCTGCTTACACACAATTGGGGAAAACCTTTTCTCTGGACAAAAGAAAAAGGTAACTTATCTAGAATTATCATTTCAACACAAGCCTTGGTCACTTCATCTTGAGAAAAACCTATAACTTCCAACTTATCTTTCTTGGCGGCAAAAGTTAAGATCTTTTTTCCATTTTTGGAAAATATATCCTTATCAAGATTATAGCTTTTACATCTTGCTAAACAATTTCTTATACTAATTGCACTATTTTTACCTGTGTTGGCCTTAAATGCTTGGTCACAATACTTGCACACCGCCTAACTCTACCACCCTCAATTTTCCTTTTAAAGTTCAAATCGAAGACCTTTTCATGATTTTGTAATAATTCCAAGACAATTTCTTCTTTACTTGGTCACTTGAGTTACCTTCTTTTAGAGTTACATCAGAGGGATTTCCAAATCCACCATGAGAATTAGTAGTTTGTCAAGATGCCACCATGGAGAGTTTGGCGGTGTTGATTCACCAATATATCCATCTAAAATAAGAGAATCATTACAATTAATTATTAAAGAATTTGAGACATAAGAACTACTGTTTATGAACTAAAGTATAGAGAGAGTATAGAGATAACAACTTGAGCAACAGGCATAGATTTTGTAACAGTCACAGTATTACCAACACTAAAAATCAAGGACAAAATTGGAGATTGTGTAAGTGCTAATTGAGCAGGATTCACCATGACTACCCTAATCCTCAAGAATCAACAACCAACACTAAATTCAACAATCAACTACTAATTTCAGCAATCAATCACCAGATTTAACAGTTTATCAATAGTTAATCAAGAAACCCCCAAATTCTAGGGTTTTCTTGTTAACATGATCACGAAATCACATATCTACTAAAAAGCTGAGCACCGAATCAAATATAAGGAAGAGTAACCTTATATGCTTGATCAGAGAAAGAACATCAATAACAACAACCATAATCAACTAGGAAATAAGTCACTAAGATTAACAATCAAGATGCAGATTGGCTCACAATTCGAGGATCCATCAGCAATGATCAATGAGCAACAAGCAACACAACAGTGAAAAAGAGCAAGCAAAAGTAGAAGGTTCCTCAACCACAGGCATCGGCCATGCCCAGTGAAGATGCCTTGATAACTCTATAAATGTTCTTGACAGGGCCGGTCCTGAGATTTTGGGGGCCCTGTGCGAGACTTTAACGGAGGCCCCTAAATTGTATAAAATTTTCATTGCTGTGTTTTGTTTTACATTTTAATTTTTATGATTATGTATGAATTGAGATTAAAAAAAAAAGAAAAAGAAAAAACAAATTTAGGAGTGGTGGACCGGTGGTTAGGTATTTATTTGCATCCCTATGTTTTTGAGTTCGAAACTCTTCATTTATAAATACCAAAAAAAAAAAAAAAAGAATACAAACCCTTAGAAGGTTTAACATTATAGTTGCTATGTTTTCTTTTACATTTTAATCATAGAAAATGATAATGTAAAAGAAAAAAAAATTTCTTGGTGTGGTAGCTAGGTGCCTATTTGCCTCCCCCAAGTTTTTGGGTTCAAAACACCATGCTTTTAAATACCAAAAAAAAAAAAAAAAATTAAAATAAAACACAAAACCATGCTTTTAGATACCAAAATAATTAAAAATAAAACACACGAACAAATTACCACTGGTCAGTCTCATAATATGCTCAAGACAATTGCATTGAGAGAACAATTACGTATATCATTGCACGTTTAAATTTATATATGAAATATACAGGTAAAGTAAAATCATAAATCGAGGCCCTTCCGAATTTGGGGGCCGTGTGTTGTAGCACCACTTGCACACCCTTAGGGTCGGCACTGGTTCTTGAAGAAGAAGCAAATAAATAAAAAAGCAGCTATTGCAAGAGAGGGAAAGTTTGGTTCAACAAAAACTCAATCCTTTTCATGTGATGATGTAATAATTACAACAACGAGTATTTATAGATTACAAGATAGGATAATATTAGGGAGACTAAATTTGTACATAAAGTTTTGAAAACTAAAGGACATGGAAGTTGATGATTGGTTTATTACTTAAATGTTAATAAACGTGCTCATTCCTATTGGTGAAATGTAATTTAGTTTGCAAATTTAGTCTTCAGATAAACCCCTCATCTAACTACCTTTTAAGACATAACCAATGACTTAATGACACTTGTAATAATCCTAGACACTCAACAACTCTCTCAACGATGACTACCTTTTCTACTACAATTTACAAAGGTGTTGGTGTTACCATACTACCATTCGGCGTAGTGGGGGTGCGGCAGTGGAGGGGTTATGGAAGCAAATTTGGCAGCTGACTGTGCCTAATAAAATGAAGTTCTTCGTTTGGAGAGGGTGTAATAGCTCGCTTGCGGTGAAACGGAACTTGATACGACGTGGCATGAATATTGAGAGAGCTTGCACGCTCTGTGGGTCTGCGGACGAAACAGAGGAACACCCTTTCTTTAGGTTTGAGTTTAGTCGCATGTTTTGGTTTGGTTCACCTCTACATCTTGATTCCCTTGCAATTGTGGGTAGCGACTTTCGGGAGTGCTGGACAAATGTATGTTCAAGGGTTCATGATATGGATGCCTAGGACGATCTTTTGCAAGAATTTGCTTTTGGTCTTTGGCGAATTTGGAAGGTTAGAAATGATATGGTCTTTCGTGGAACGACTTGGAATCCAACGGAGGCTTTGGAGTTGTGGAGGGGGTAGGTGAGTGAGTTCAGAGATGCTATGGTTAAGATTGATAATCAGGGGCCGTGTCATCCTGGAAGTGTTCTGTCGGAAAGGGGCTTGCAGGGAGGTTGGAAGAAGCCGGAATTTGGAGCCTTGAAAATTAATTGCGATTTGGAACTCAAAGACGAGGTTGGGTGGTTATGGGTGGGTGTTAAGAGACTTTGCTGGGATTTTAAAGCGAGCTGGAAATTTACTTTTAGTTCTACCATTGCTGCTGAGGCTGCTGCCGTTAGGGCAGCATTTATGTACTGCAGAAACAGCGGTTGTACAAAGGTGGAGGTGGAGTCTGACTCCCAATCTTTGATTCATATGGTTAATAGACAAATGGAACGGTGTGCAATACTAGAAGGGGTGCTGTTTGATATTTGATTATTTAGCTATGCATTTTGATTTTGTTAAGTTCGGGTTCGTTCCACAGAAAAGTAACTTGGCTGCTCATGAGGTGGCTTTGTTTGCTACCAAACATAGTTGCGAGTTCCTTTGAGAAGAGATTGGCCCGAATTTTTTATTTAATATTCTTGCAACTGATGTAAACTTTGCCATTCGGTTTTAATAAATTTCTATATTTTCGACAAAAAAAATTTAAAAAACATAAAAAAAACACTCACAGTTTTTGCATAAAAATGATCAATCAGTAGGATGTTTCCTGTTTCGAAAAGAAGATCAGGAAGGGAGACCGAAATGGGAATTACAAAAAAATTCGATAGTAGGATACTAATCTGAATGAATAATCTCAATTGCATATACCTCCACTTTATCTAACTCTTTAAATTTACCTAGAGCTTGTCTTCTTAAATTGGTGAATATATCAGTACACTGTAAAATGGGTGTGAATGCCCACATAAAACAATCTCGTGGCTAAGTATGCATGATGGAAGAATAGAAGTAAAAGAATCCGGATCCTCTCCGGATTCTCTTTGTGAGGATTCTAGAAATTCGTGAATCGTGTTCATACATTATAGAATAAGTTTTCGTCAGATACTATTTGTGTTTAATTATAAGTAATAAAATTTAAAATGATTATGACCATATGATGTACGATGAACAAACATGATACATGAATTTCCAGAATCATCACAAAGAGAATCAGAAGATGATCCTTATTCAAAGTAAAAAATGTATGGCTTAAATAGTAGAAGTTTGATTTTTTTTACTATTTTGGTGTGTAACTTTTCTACATGCATTGAAAGAGGTGTCCAATGAAAAACTCGATACATATAGAGGTATGCTTGTATCATACCCGTACAACAACACAGATCAAAAGCAGAAAGTAATAGTCCACGTTTCCATCTCCTCTCCTCCTTCCTCATTCATTTACGTAGTTCGACACAATTAAAAAAAAAAAGTAGAGCACCAGTTCCAATTCTCTAGCAAAAATTCTCTCATTTTGCCTATTTATAACACAACAATCAAATATACAATGGGAACAATTTTTTACAATTCAAATGCATAAAGCTTGCCTAATGTACACTACAAATTCCCCACTAGCAAACACAAAACAGTGTAACACGAAATTCTTTACAAACTAAATACTTAAAAAGAGGAAGGCTAAATCAATTGTACGACACAAGAAATGGGATGACCATAGACATAAATTCGTCGTAACCAAAATTTGCTGAACCAGTATACCACCGACCTTTCTCTTTGAACCTATCGGTCAAACCCTGAAATCAAAATAAGAACAATATTTATATGTAGTTAGGAAATTCCAGCAAAAAAATTCAAAACAAAAGATAGCTGTTTCTTTGTCAAATCGCACACTGCATTATTTGCTTAAAGAAATGCGTCAACCTCGCAATTTGCTCACCCTCACAATCATCCCGCATCTGCATATCAAACAAAACGCGATGTCAGAAGAAGCATAGCCACGAATTGATTCTCAGGGAGAACGAAACAAGTCATGCGAAATGTCTAACGGTAATGTCATACATTTAGACGTGATTTCGCTTGAGCAGTGGTCCTAATTCACAGATTAGCCAAAGAAAGTTTCCACTACATTAGATTAGAAGACTTACTCCACGAAACTGTCAAAGTTTAGTTCAATCCTGCGGCCACTTCCATCATCATACTTGGAAATCAGAAGTTGAAGAACAGAAGGTGGCATGGCAAGGCCTAGACCGTAGAGTGCATCTCTGAGTTCCATCGAATCAATCTTTCCACTCCTATCTTTGTCATACCTCTCGAATATCGACTGCAATTTCAGGTTCAAACCATAATTCAGAGTGACAGTTTGTAGCAAAGAGAACATGGGATCGATTTTATAAAATCTAAGGACATTTTCTTCAGACAAGTAGGAAGTCAGGCAGCATTCTGAGTCTCTGACCCCTAAAAACGGCATTGCAGATTGGCAGTGTATGACAAGACTCAATTGGGTTACCCAAACTAGATTATCAAACAACCATATGAAACATATTTAGCGGTTATTTGAACCAAATGGCATAGAGCTTCACCACTAGACAATTGAAATAGTTCTAGAGTAGGTTACATGAATTAAGAGTTGAACCATCAAACAAATGCGCCTCAATCCTTGCAATAGTACCTACTGCATGCTATATATTAACAAAAACCAAAGCATTCTTCAGGCTGCATGAACGGGACCGGAAGCACCCTAAACTCTAAGCCATTAACAAAATCATAAGGTGAGATTCTTATGATAAAAGCGAGAAACCGATGATAATTACTTGCTGTGGATGCAAATTTTTTCCTCCTTGTTTTTGGACAAAATTGCACCTACAAAACAAATAACACCTTAGGTCAAGGCCAAAAGCCTCACGCGCCCATAATGAATGGGGGAGGGGGGGCTTTGGCCGAAGAACCTCCGATGCAAAAGTTAGAATTTAGAGAGAAAAGTGTTTGGAGAGTTTTTGGGAGTTTTGCAAGAATGTGGAACTACTTTTTTTTTTAGAGAAAATAGGGTCATATATATAGGGAATGGAGGTAGCCGGCCCTTAGAGGGTTTTTGTGTGAAAATGGGTGATTTAATTGGTGATTAATGGATTAATTAGGAATTAATCCATTAATTAGCCAATTAATCTCCATTTATATGGAATAATTTGTAGGTTATGAAGTAATTACCTAAGATGAGGATGGATGAGATAATTTGGAATTTGTTACCTATTTTGGACACTCTTGGCTGATTGTTCACTGCTCGCGCGTAGGACAACTGGTGTGTCTTAGGGGTGACTTTGTCCTTTTTTCCAAAAATCCACGTATCGCCTTGTGATTATTTTTGGCTCCACAAATGCCCCTACACCTGCTGGGCTACTCGTAGGAAAGGGCAGCAGGTGTAGAGATCTTCTTGCTCTAGGAAACTTATGATTGCTTCTTATTTTGATGTAGATTCCCTCTTTAATATGAAATTAGATTCTTCTAGGAAAGGGAAATAAATTTCTCTTAAAGCCTATTTAAGTCCACCTTAAGTGGGTTATTAAATCATCTTTGGAGAGTGATTTATTCTAACCTACAAGAGAGAGAGAGCTTAGAGGATATTTGTTCCTCGTCCTCTAGCAATCTTCTACATCTTGCCCATGCAAATGACCATCTTTCGTTACTTTCTTCGTCTTCTCCGTGCCGCACCAATGTAATAAAACTTAATTTCTTGTCTTCTTCTTGGATAATGCTATCGTGGGGCAGCCGTCGGGGTAGTGCGGCACGTCAGCTGGCAGGGGCAAGGAGTCGGCTCGGTATGGGCCGACGAGGTGTTGTGGCAGGGACCACTGCTTTAGGCTACTCGGCTTGGCTAAAGCAAAGGGCAGCTTGTGCGACTGTGGTCGCAGATTGTGGAGTTGGGGCGCAGTGCTAGGCAAGTCGCATGGCTCATGCCCTTTGGGCTCTTGGACCTGACACGGGCCAGGCCTGCGATTAAGAGAGATAAGGAGGTCGAGGGCCTCATAGGTTGCTGAAATGTTGGGCATGCAGGCCTCTTGTCTACTGGTCTGAGAGAAAAAATGAGGAAAAAACCAGTATGGGTTGAGTTCCCCTGCTAAGTACCGTGAATATCGTCTGATCATTATAGTGGAGCCTACTGTGAATAAAGGTGGAAAGAAGAGATTTTCCTCGTCTGTTCAAGAGTTGCTGGTTAAGAAAAAACTGAAAACTTCCTCCGCTGCTCGTGAGGGTCCATCTGCTGTCAAGAGGCATGTGATTGACATGAGTTCTTCCAATGGGAAGAAAAATAAGGCTGCTCGATTTGAGCATGTGGCGTCTGCTATGTCAAGAATGGCTAATTTGATTGTTAATAATATTGCTCAGTGTAGAGGTCTTGTCATGCTCTTAATGCCGAGGTCTATGCCAAGACATCCGTTGGGAGCTAAGTTCGGTTCTCATTCAGAAAGGTTTGCTATTATGAAGAGCGATAAAGTGGACTCAGCTGCTAAAGTGGCGTTAATGCCCACTCATTCTACTGCTGAGAATGATTCGCCTGCTAGGAAGGAGGAAACTGCTCACGTGGGCAGCTGTGAGAAATCCATTAAGCCTACTTCTAAGAAACTACTGAGATATGTGTGCTCTTGAAACTAGATTTGCTTGAAGACATAGACACTTATGCCAAGTTTGTTGATGGCATTAGAAAGGTTTGTTTGCCCAAGTTCCTTTGTGAAGCATACGACCCAATATAGAAGGACTGTTCTGCTTGCTATGATGCATATATAGTAAGGCTGTTAAGGAGGTGGTGAAGACTATGGTAATTGAAGCTTATTCCTTGTCCGAGGAGATCAAGAGGTTGGACTATGAGCTCGTTGCTTTAAAGGGGTATAATATTTCTGCCCCCACTTCTTTGCAGCTTAAGACTGCTCGCTAAGAGATTATTATCTTGAAGACTAGGCTTGACGAGATCCGAGTTAAGTATGAAAGTGCAGAGAAGGAGATTGGATGTTACATACCTCAGATTCAAGATCTTGAGTTTGCAGTTTCTGAGCTTTATTTTGCTACTTATGCAAAGGATGAAGAGTTGATTGCTACTTATAATCAAGTGATCCACTTCAAGAGAATCGTCGATAAGCTTAAACCCCAAGTGTTAGAACTTCAAGATGTACTGAAGATCAATGAAAGTTTGAAGAAGGAAGTGGATAAGCTGCAACACATCTGTGTTGGTCTGCTCGAGGATAGGCTCGAGGTTTCGAGACCTTCCCTATTTCTCCGGAAGACTTGCTTGCTTTTACTTTTGAGGCCTCCATTGGTGAAGTAGTTGAAGAAATTAGTGCCCAGGCTAGGGCAGCTGGGGGTGAAGTGCTGGAAGATGCCGCTGCTAAAGTGTCGTGGTTGCTGAAGGTGTGGCAACCGAGTAGTCGTAGGATGTCCAAGTTGTTGAAGTGTAGTCTTCTAGGTAGCCTTTAGGATTTTCTTTGTTTTTCCTTGTAGCTTTTGTTTTTCTTGAACTCCTTTGGCCTATTCACGTTGTTTTTAAACATCTTTCATTCGCTTATTTTGTTCATGCCCTAACATTTAGACTTTATAGACTAATGGCAGACTTGCTACTTTTCTATAAGCAGACAGACCCGCGTAGTCTATGCAGCCGTAGGTGTTGGTATAGAACTTTGCAAAGTTGTTAGCCATAGGGTTGATGCGAACTAAGTAAGCACACAAATTAAAACCCTCTTGTGACAATTGTAGTAAAGATGCAAGTAGGGATCGTTCTAGACCGGGGATTAGGAGGGATTACTAAATCACTTGGAAACTGACTCAAAAACGTAAAACAAACGTTAAAAACACTAAACTAGACTCAAAGAATGCAAAACTAAACACTAAAACACTAAAACACTAAAACAAACCAAAAGACTCAAAGAATACAAAACACTTATAAACACAAATTAAGACACTTTCTAACTAAATTAGACACTAAGGTAAAGGGGGTTTGAGATTTTGACGAAAATAAATTAAATGCACAAATTGTAATTTAACGGCAGAATTTAAATATGAATGTAATGAAATATGGAATGAATGCTAGCTAGAAGGTTCTTCTCCACACATGTTACACTTGCATACAAACTGATTTTCAGTTGGTCTTTCGATAAATTATGAAACTCAACACCCCAGGTTAATTAGGTCTGCTTAAATTAACCGTCAAGTTTTCCTTAAGTTAATGAATTGGATGATTGCATGCGACAACCCAAAGCATTCCCCACAAGTTCCCTACATGAATTGCATAATAGAGATACAAGCAAGAATCATTAAGTTCTATGAAAAACATAAGCATTGACGAAGCATTCGTTACTATGATTGCATGAAACTTATGCCAAGAATTTATTTAACGCGATTGTTTATAAGCAACCTCCACTACTTGTGAAAATAAGTTCATAACTATTAGGTGAAATTCACTTATATTCTAGCGTCATATTCATGCATGAAAATTAAGCGTGCACTCTCAATCAACATACATAAATAAGTTATCGATCAAGCAGTTAAACAAATTGAATCCACAACTTATGAAATTCCAACCAAATATAATCAATTCATATTGCAAGCATAAACATGGTTTCGAATCACCCCCTAGCTAACTAGGGGGATTTAGCCTCTCATGTTCACAAAAAGAGAATTACAAATGAATTTAAACATAAAGCACAAAGGATTGATTACACCTAGAACGCCCAACGAATCCACGTGAATTGGTGCGCGTCGAAGCTCCTCTTTCCTCTTCTCCTTCTGCGGCAGATTGGTTTTCTTGTGTTTTTGGTTGATTTTCTGGTTTAGGGATGGATCTATGGTGATAAGGTGGTGCGGCAAGGGTGTGTGGAGGTGTGTGGAGGTGTGGAATGGAAGGAGAATGGATGGTAAGGCTGCGGACTGGAGAGAATATGGTGTGAAGGTCTTACGGCTGGAATGGTTTTTGCACGGATTATAATGGGAATTATGGAGAGAATGGAATGTTATGGTGGCTTCGGGAAATTAATGGGAAAGAATTAGGGTTTTTGGATGGTGTGGACGGATGGAGAATGATGGCTGCCGCAATTGGAGAAATTGGGAGGTTAGTCACGGCTTAGGATAGAATATTAGGTTGAATGGCAGATTATTTTAGGGTGAATGTGTATGCACGGATTGATGGAAAAAGAATGGGAAAAAGTAAATGGTGGCTGCATAAAAATATGGCATGAATGGGAATTGCGGCTAGGTTTTAAAAAGGGTTAATGGCTGAATAATATATATGGGATATGATGGTTGCGGCAAAGTCAATTAGGGTGAACAAAATCATGGAATGCACCGCCCAAGGAAGAACATAAATGGGATGGTGGCTGCCTGTTTTTTGTGGCTAAAAGGAATCCACTAAAACCCCCCCTAGGGTGCGGCTAAATTGTAAAAATGTGTAGGGTTTAAGAAATTCAAACCCTAGCTTATTTAAAATTAAATCAAAGGCTTACGAAAATAGGAAATTAAAACATAATTATAAAGGTGCGGCTAGGAAGGGAAATAGGGCTAGGGCCTTGGTTTTGTGTCCTAAAGTGCCTATAAGGCCGTCAAAGTGGCTAGAAAATACGGACGTTTAAGTTTAGGAAAGGTTACCAAAACGGGAAACTTAGGGTTAACTTTCCTAAAATAGGAAACATTGTTTGAGTAGGATTCCTCGTTTTGGTAAGAATTCATCGTTGGAGTAGGATTTCGTCGTTTCTTCAAGTCTTCAACTCATTCATTCCTCTTTCGCTCCAAAAGACTCCAATTTGCATCTTCTTGCACACTTTGGCCTTATAATCTGAAAATACACAAAAGTGGCCTTAAACACTAAAACAACTAAGTAAACACAACATAAATGCACGAGAACAAGCTAATTAAGTCGCATGAATATGCTCCTATCAAGGGTTGGCAACTGGATGCCTTACTTA